GGGACACAACTTGAATTCACAATTTGTAAAGAAAATGACTAATTCAGGTCGTTCGCTGAATGTTCAAAGAGGCACTGCTGCATTGGAGCACCAAACACTGGGTGACTCAAATCATAAATTCAAAAAGTTTGCAAAAGAAGAAATAGGCAAAATAAAAAAAACAAGAGCATGCATGAAAAAGGAAGAAAAAAAAAATGGTGCACAGTTGGTTTTATGTCCCTTTCGACCCTATGAGGTTATTTATGAGGCAGAACCTTCAAATTTAATATTCCTCTATGATAGGGCGGAGTGAAATAGTTTGTTTGTTTTTGTAAAGTGTTTTACGGCACTCACAACTGCATAAGGTCATATTAGCGCGCGGGACACACCTAATATTTTCAGTTGGTAGGAAATTTAGAATTTTGCCCAGATGGCGGCCGAAGCCTACTTTTATCGATTTTAGACCACCAAGGGATCTTTAACGTGTGCAACTTGCACACGGGCCCTCCGAGATTTTTCGCCCTAGTGAAATAGGGGAGAGCCTGAATAAGTATAACTCTCCAAAGCTACCCAAGTAGAGAATGGACCTTAAGAGATTTGAACCAGAACCATTTCTAGTCTATGGTGATATCAGCTGACTTAACAATGTCCCCCGCCAATGTATCGAGGCATAAGAGAGACAGTTGTTTCTCACAAGTACTATGAGCCTCGTCCTAATACAGTAAAATGTGTGACACTTACTTCTTGGAAAAATGGTTGTGTCACGTTTTCCTTTTCCTGTGAAACAGAAAAGCATTTTATGCTAGAATAGTGTGCAAGCATCCCGATGAAACGGCTGGATGGTGTAATCAATTTGTCTGTTTTTGTGTAGGGGTGCATGCATGCATTATTATAAGTGGGTTTTGTATTTATCTTCTGTTAATGCATTTTTCCTCCACGTCTCTGTCCAACAGTGGGTGGTTGGCGGGTGCTCTGGTGTGGTTTGCTTCTTCTTTCCTCTCAAACATCTATCGCCCTTATCTTCCCTTCTTCTTTTTTATGTTTCTTACTGTCTTGTAACACCTCTAATTTTCTGACGCTCATATGACCTTATGCAGTTGCGAGCGACGTAAAACCTCTACTAAAATTAACTCTGTCTAACAGCTGACAGCCTATGTGGGACTCTCACAGAGCTCAGATCAAGCCTCTGCCCTGGTATGTGTGAGTTACAACTGTCAACAGCTCTATTACATCATGTTAATTTTTTTACAACTGTCAATAAGTCTATGACATTGCGTTTATTGGTTTACAACTGTCAATAAGTCTATGACATTGCGTTTATTGGTTTACAACTGTCAATAAGTCTATGACATTGCATTTATTGGTTTACAACTGTCAATAAGTCTATGACATTGCGTTTATTGGTTTACAA